CGAGCCATGCCAAACTGCTGAGAACGGCGTTTTTGGGATGTTCTTGGGGACCACTAAACACTGGCTCGTACGGCAGCGATATTCTCGGCCGATCGCCTTGGTCGACTTTTATATGGCCTCTTCGGATTAGAAAGAGCTTAACAGTCGAAAAGTTTTCGTATAAACGCTTAATGGTATTCTTAGAAGGCGCACTTCTCAAATTTTTTAATGTTTTAAAAGCACGTTGAGTTTTCACAATTGACTTCTTCTGTTGAATGTAAATTTCAACTATTTCAGAGCGCTCGCGTGACGTGTATTGGTTCATGGTAAAAATCAGCTTGGACTGACGCTTCAAACGCGGTATGTCATTAAGCGATGTGACATCTCTGTCAAAAGTTATGGCGTTGCCAGATGGGTCCGTCGAATATGGACAACCCTGTATATCCAAATGTGAACCGAACTTGATAAAATTTGACCTATAAATTGTTAGGCTGTATCTGATATCTGGTGCTAAATATCAGTCTTATGGAGTGCATATAACGAATGTAAGGGACTTAAACACAAAAATCGGATGAAACATATATGGGAGCTATAGCTATATCTGGACCGATTTTCACCAAATTTGAAGTACATGCTAGGCTGAATTCGGTAGGGATGCCAAAATTCAATCCATTTGGACTGATATTAGCCATTTGGATCACAATAAACCTGAAATCGATCGTATATATATATAAATATATTTGTATATATATTTATATATATATATATATATATATATATATATATATATATATATATATATGGGACCTATATCTGAATTTCATGGGACCTATATCTGAAAATTTCATCTCAATCGAATAATAAAAGCGACCTGCATTTTGTTCGCAAAAAAAAAAAAGACGGATTTTATTTTCTATTGAATCCATAATAAAAGGGTACAAAAAATACCAAAATGTACTACAAACTTAATAACTTGTATTGTACAGATGGAATTCAAACTTTAGGGTTACGAGAATTACTAAAATGCTACTAAACGTCTAAAATGGTAAAATTTGGTATTATGTGAACGGATAGAGCTATAATCTCGATTCATATATGAAGGTGGATTGTGGAAATGTATACTAAGTGTGCGAACTGTACTAAATGGTACTCAATGTGGGACTAAATTTAGCGCAAACGGATAAAGCTGACATTTTAAAGATTTGTATTGTGTTCCCTGTTGGTGGTAAGAGGTGGTAAAGAGCTGGTTTTGCAAGTTTGTTCTACAATTGTATGAAAAGTACTAATTAGTGCTATATTTGGTACAATTTGGTATTGGGTGAACAGATCGAGCTTGAAATCTGAAATTTGTAATTAGGTATTATAATTCTCCGAAAAACACTAAAATTCAGAATTTTGATATTTATACTGCTGATGGTATCTGTGTGTCAGATTTGACGCTGATTTTGAAATGCATTCTATATTTGTACGCAAAGTACTAAATGGTACTACATTTTGTATTGGGTAAAGAAATAACGCTGGAATTCTCAAATCTGATATTGAAATCTCTGTCGGTATCTGTAATTGTGGTATGGTGGTAATTTTTGGAATGTGTACGAAAAGTACTAAATAGTACTTAATTTGGTATTGCGTAAGGGAATAGAGCTGATATTCTGAAATTTAATATAAAGATCAGTGGTGGTTTCAATTGCCATATCTCAAGTGTGGTTTTAGAAGTGTGTACTATAATTGTATGAAAAGTATTAAATGGTACTAAATTTTGTATTGGGCGAAGGAATAGAAATTAAATTCAGAAATTTGATGTTGATTTGATTAGATGTTGTTGTTGTTGGTATCTGAGGTTGAGATTTGGAGGTGGTTTTAGAAATGTGTACTTTAATTTTTCGAAAAGTACAAAGTGGTACTAAATATAGTATTGGGTAAACGGATCTCTGGAACTTAATATTGTGGTCTCTGTTTGGTATCAGGTGCTGAGATAGGGCCACGTTTTTGTGCCCAAATATAATCTTACTTCCCAATGCTCGAAACCTTGATGCCTTTTGTACATATTTATACCCTCAGCCATATGGCTAGAGAGGGTATATATCATCTGTTACGGCCAAAACGTGCCTCCTCGAAATAACGGTTTTAGAGCCTAGGTCTCTTTGGACCAAATCAGTTTTAGGGCATTTGGAGTCGATCTAGGGGTGTCCGTTCGGCTGTCTGTCTGTCTTTCTGTCTACTGGCTGGTGCGCCCGAGAACTCTGGAAGGGAATATCCGATTTGGTCCAAACTTGGTACATAGTAATATTATCATCAAACTTAGATCGAATATGGAGATGGGCAATATAGGTCCACTTCTCCTGGTACCTCCCCCGCAACAGGTCGAAGTTTTCAATAAACAATATTTTACTGCACAGAAAGAGAAAGGATAATCCGCTTTTGCTACAACTTTGAAAATCCTAATATTCGCACCAATGATAGGTCAGTTGCGAAAATGGACAATATCGGTACCTTCACCACTAAGGGTCAAAATTGATATAAGAATCCGATAAAATGTGATATAAGAGTCCGATAGTACAATATTGCCACATCTCTTGGGAACCTACTCCATAGAGGGTCAACAGTTTAAACAATCAAAACAGAAGTCAAAATATGTTTAAATAATGGAACATTGGCTGAGGATGTGCACTGCTACGTTCTACTTTTCTGCCATTTGTTTTTATATTTTACATGGAAAATTTAATTTTTGCCAGTTGGACCCCCCTCCCAAAAGTGATCTAAAAAAATACATTTCTATGAACGTTCCCGTTACGGGGTTAATTTCAACTGCTGTAGATGCTAATATTTCAACGTTTACATTGATAATTAAGTGAAACAATAACCATAAATTATAACGTAGATAAGAGCACTTTCGTTGGCTCTTCTTCGTTCTTCTGTTTATAATTATATAATTGTAATCGCAGGACAATGTTTATTGTACAGGCAATGAGTTAAACTGTCATTTAATGAAAGGAAACCGCAACCTTTTATTGTCTACGATTTGGTCACTTTGTCGTCGTACTCTGCTATGAACTGCTACCGTATATCCGCTCACTCTTTTCATTTTCGCCTTATTTGGATTTGTATTATGGTCCAGGAACAGAATGCCATAATCCCCTCTTTTACTACAGACCCCAAGCTATGGGGCCAGAAAATAGCAAACGGAGAAGAAAAAACAAAAACAAACAAAGCAAATTAAACCATTCATGTGTAAACTCAACCAAACCAATCTGTGAGGGCAAAGAGCACAAAAAGAAACGATGAACAAATGTTGTTGTTTTTATATACAGTTTCACTCTAATTTTTCCATCCTCCCCCGTTGTGCTAACAAAAATGCTTATTTTCCGTTTTTTCTATGTTTTGTGGAACTAACTTCCCTGCTCAATAATGGTTATGCTGAACAATTGCTACTATTAAAAAAAAAGTCAAAACGCTTGTGGTCCCTTCAGTGAGCCATGCGTTGTAAACTAACAACAGCTCCTTGAAGGAAATAATTCTCAGCAAAAAATCTTTTCCGAAAAAAATATAAGTTCTCTAAAATAGTTTTTTTTTGGCTTGTTTAGCGGTTTATCAGGATTATATTGATGGACACAACGTGTTTTAATAATTCAGAATATGCATATGGTGTGCGAAGTTTCTTTTTGGAAATGGAAATACATTAGCTAAGAGTGTGCGTGTCCGGCTACACAAGCGAAGGTTGTGGGTTCTAGACTCAGCGTTGGGAAATAAAAATGTTGAATAAAATACGATGAGTTATTTATGAAGTTATACGACATGAAACAACCCTTATTGTTCGTAGCCGTGGCACTTTGTGCTTTGCTCCAGCTGCTGAAAGAATAAACCAGCAAGGAAAAAACCAAAGTCGCATGCGTCCGCCCATATAATACCTTATACCATTTTTTATTCATATTCGGCAGAGCTGCCAAGCAAAAAATCTCATTACCAAATAATGAATGACGAACTTAATATAGCCTCCATACTATGTATGGTGGAGGGTATAAAAATAGTAGTATATGACAAAAGGAGTTTTAGACCCTAGGTCTCTGTGGATCAAATCAGTTTTAGGACCTTAAGAATCGATCCAGCGGTTTCCGTCCGTCGGCCCTGCACTACATCTCTCGGAGAAAGCCGATTTGGTTGTAATATTATTATGAAACTTAGATCATGTTCGGAGTTGATCAATTTCTGTTCATTCCTTCTGGTCGCCCAATTATACGGTCAAAATTCCTCACAAAAAATAATTTACCTCATAGAACAAACAAGTAAAAAAGCATTAAGTTCGGCAGGGTCGAACTTTGAATATCCTCCACCATTTGGAACAAATTAGAAAATTTTCAAGAAAATAAAATCTATTAAAAATTGTGTTCAAATCTTTAAAATACCTGATACAGGAAGTTGCCGATATATGGGGGGATATACGATATTGTGGACCTACACGCAGAGAAGGATTATGGTTGCAGCAACTATATTCGAAGAGCATAATGTTATGGTAGGGATATGGCTGCAGCAAACATAGCACCTGGTTGAAGCAACTATAGTACATACATAACATTTTTGGCATAAAATTTAAAATTTTAACAATACAATGGTCACCGTAAAAATAATTATTGTTCTCTTTCAAAAACACTATGGTCCCCAACTAACCATGTAATGGTTGTTCCTAACCATTTATTGTTCTTCAACTAATCATACCATAGTCATGGGAAACCATACTGTGGTTCCAATATAAACATAATATTTTTCAAAATAATCATAGTATGGTCCTAGTTAATAATATTATGGTAGATAAACAATCATGCTATGGCTACAAAATAACCATGTTATAGTTCAATGTAACCATACTGTCTAACCATGTTATAATACAGGTAAACGTAATATGGTTACCTGCATTAAAGTACCTATGAATAAAATGCATTATTTATTTAAAATATATTTTATTTTATTATATAATATACATACATTGTACGTCAAATCAATTCAAAAATAACTTATTTTCTTTAGATACAGAAACATACATACATACATACTGTCTGTTTGGGGTTTTATTTAGAATAAATTCCATTAAAGCCTTTGCAATTTTAATGCGGTCCTTATTTTCCAATGTTTTAACATTTAAGAATTGGTTAATATCAGGGATGGCGCTAATTTCCTAAAGAAATATATTGTTGAAATATAGAAACTCACTATTTCTACTATATATAATAAGAATATGTACTAAAGTACTTAAAATGAAAATCATGTTTAAAGAAAAGACTTACCTGCTTTGATGGAAGACTTTGCAAATGTCCACACTGGTGAAAACAATTATGTCTTGGGAGGAATTTAAAAATGTTTCTTCTCCAATGCACGATATTGCTTGATGAGCAGCTGCGAAATGTTCTGTTGATGGCGAATCTATAGATTCACTTTCAAATGCAGAGTCCGTATTGGATATACAAACATCAATACCTGAGAAAATTAGAAGTAAGAAAATATAAAATTCTACAATTAGAAATAAATTTGTTTCTTTTAACTAATACTTACTTGGCAGCTTAATGTCTAGAACAAAATCAGTAGATCCAATAAACTGTTTAACAAAATCCGGAAAATGGCTTGGTTTTATCTTGAAACCTTTAGAGAGTACGTCTACATTAACATCTCTTAAACTGTAGCTTTCACGAACTGCAATAAAAACAAACAAACATAATTACAAAAATAAAAATCAAAATTGCTTGCACACTTTGTGTTTGTTTTATCAAATTTCTTATATTTACCTTCATCTAGGAACAATTGGTAATTGTTATCTCCGTCAAATGTAACACAAATTATTTCTTTTTTGTCACCAAAAATTGCTTTTATAAATTTTAAACCTTTCATTTATTGATTTTGTTAAACGCACAACTTTCTCGCACAAACAGAACAGAACAACTGACATAAATTCTGTTCTTTTTTTGCAAGCAAAAAAAAAAAATAAATAAATAACGGGACTCTCATCAAGAAATGCGTATGTATGCATGTATGATTTAAAATGCAGAATTATTTGTTGACAACAAACATAACATGGTTGCAATAAAAATATCGTTATTAATTTCAAAAATGATATTATTGCATTCCAACGCATACACAAAATATAAATACGAATAGATATACGTTTACATTGTCGGGATATTTAATAGAAAATCAGACATTTTGCAAGAAATGCAAAAATTTTCTGAATTTCTATAATTTAGATTTTTTTAAAATAATATATGTATATATTACATTAAAGTGTAGGATGACACATGTAAATATTAAACTAAAAACTATGAAAAACACTTTTATTTCACAATACCCGTTTATTTATAAACTAGTACGAACGACTTCGAACGTTGTCGAATATAAACTGAAAAAAGCATCGTGGGAGCTTTACAGCAACATACGGAATGACAATGTTATGATTCCATCTAATCATGTCATGTTTAATGTTAGTAGGATTCTGATAATTACATTATGGATAAAAAAAATCGACCATAGTATTTTTGCTTACAACTATGTAAATGGTATGTAACCATAAAATATTTTATTAATGCAAACAATTATTGTATCAGCAACTATTAAATAGTTCCTCTGATAATTGTATGATTGTTCAAAGTAACCATACTGCAGATTTTTTAATGAAAAACATTTTTCCAACAAAATATTGATCAGATTTTTATTGTGGAAATAATAATGTGGTTGAAACCAATAAAAACATGTTTGAGGGAACAATTCTATGATTGTAGCAAATATTTAGTGATTGCAGTGAAAATGTTCAACTATATTTTTTCTCTGCGTGTATATAGAGAAATTTCTGTCAGGGGTAAAGTACTCACAAAGAACCCCTTATATAAAATTTCAGAAAATTCCGTTGAAAAAAGTAGCTAAAATTATCAAAATACCCACAATTCCGTTCAAAAATGTGGCTAAAATCATCAAAATACTGAATATCGAAGGTACCGGTACAGTATTTTTCGGTTAATTGAACCTACGGTTAATTGGTTTCCCCGCTTAATTGAACCACATGATAGGGCAAAAAAATATTGAATAGGAAAACACATGTAAATTTCCTCGGATAATTAAATCCGGTTAATTGATTTTCCCGCTTAATTGGTTCAAAATTCTTGTCATCAAAAATAAATTTCCTCATATTTTTCCCCGGATAATTGCATTATTATTGAAAAATAATCTGGCATCTTTTTGTATACACATGTGACATCACTTGTAAAAAACATTAGGTGGCATCTCTACTAATTGAAAACATATGTTAATTGCTAAGGAAAACCGCGAGAAAACGTAAGTGTTTAATTTGTAGTATTTGACAATAACATTGGAAATACATTTTATTTTATTGTTAATTTTTTGTAGGCTATGAGTGGAAAACGATACGTAACTCTTACACTAAAGGATAAGCTTAAAATTTTATCTGAAGCTAAATGCAAACAGAAGTCTGAGCTGTGCAAAAAGTATGGGTGCTCTCTTAACACATTGAATAGAATTTTGCGAAAAAAAAAGAAAAAGCAGAGCAGTTGGCTCAACAAATGAATTGTGATTTTACACCATCAACAGGTTGGTTATGGCGCTGGCAACAGCGACAAGGAATTAAGCTGAGAAAAATACATGGGGAACAAAAATCTGCGGATTCAAATGCGGCGGAAGATTTTTTAAGTTCAGTTGTACCAAATATAATTTCAGAATACGAGGAGGCCGACATTTTCAACGCGGATGAGAGCGCTTTATTTTTTAAAGCTTTGCCTCCAAAAAGTCTTTGCAAACAAGGATACCGTAACACTGGATTCAAGTCATCTAAGGAGCGCGTAACATTACTTTTTATATGCAATGCGACGGGTAATTACAAAAAAGTTATTGTAATCGGAAAGGCTAAAAACCCACGTTGTCTGAAAAGTAAAGTATCGCCCTTAAAATACTATTCGAATCAAAAAGCATGGATGACAGCCGATCTATGGAGCGAAATTATTCTTAATTTAGAAGAAGAAATGGCTTCACAGAAACGAAACATTGTTCTGTTTGTAGACAATGCGTCTTGCCACAAGAAGCCCCAAAATTTGAAGCACATAAATATACAGTTTTTACCAGCAAATACAACAGCAATAAGCCAGCCCTTAGATCAGGGTATAATTCATGCCTTCAAGTCATATTATAGACAGAATATTGTTAGAAAGCAGATTGTAGCTATGGAGCTAGGGAAGACAGTTGAAGAGTTTTCGAAGTCAATTAATATTCTACAAGCAATGCATATGATAAAGCGCAGTTTTTGGATGGTTAAACCAACGTCTATTAAAAACTGTTTTAAAAAGGTATTAAAAAATCGGATTTTGTTTTTGTTCATGTTAGCAATGCTAGGTGTAATTTTACAGGCGAAGTTAATGAAGACGTCACCCGAAGAAGAAAATGAGGAAACTGAAAGTTCCGATGAGTTTGAAATAGCGGACAATTTAAGAGAAGAATTTGAAAAATTCGTAACATGTGACGACAACGTAGAATGTAATGGAGTGCTCACTGATATGGAAATTATTAAAAATATTTTGGATTCGGCTGAAGATGAGGATGAAGAGCAAGAACATGATAATCTAAAACCTCCATCAGTTCTAGAAGCTTTAAAATACATACAAGAACTTCAGACATTTTTTTGTACCGAAAATAAGTTCCTATGTGAGTTAGGTAATATGGAGTCTTATATCTTATCAAATAAATTAAAAATACACAAACGAAAATTACAGACTTTTTCAAGTAATTCCTTTAAAATGTAAACAAGATGTTTGTTTTTCTTTTTTAAATAATGATCTCGAAAAGTGTGAATATGTACGACATGAATTTATTTGTCCTTTTTATTTTTTAAACACTATGTAATATTTTAATACCTACGTGAATGAAGGAGCTTTATGTATATGTACATATATGAATTGTTTTTATGCTTTAAGTTTATGTTCTTTTTTGTAATACCTACATATGAATTGTTTTTTAGTTTATAAATGTGATTTCTTTGTACATCTAATATGGACATAAATAAATAAATAATTTTAAATACTTAAAATGCTCATATGCGATTTATTTTAATCCATTGGTAGTTCAAATTATAAGTGATTTATGTAATTGAACAAACCGTTCACTTAAGCGGGTATCGGTTAATTGGATTCTCGGTTAATTGAACAAAAAAATGTGCAAATTTTGATGTGCAATTAACCGAAAAATACTGTATATGGGGGACATATGATATCGTTAACCTACATAGAGAATTCTCTGTCAGTGGGTAAAGTGTTCACAAGGACTTCCTTGTGTGGATTATCAGACAATTCCGTTGAAAAATGCGACTAAAATCATCAAAATACGGAATATCGGGGGTACCGTTATCGATATCGTGGACCTATATAAACAATCTCCTTTAAGGGGTAAATTACTCACGAAGAACTCCTTGTGTTGAATTTCAGACAATTCCATTGAAAAGTGTGGCTAAAATCATCAAAATACCGAATATCGGCGGTATCGTTATATGGGGGCTATACGATATAGCTGACCTATATATATTTCTCTTCTAGGCGGTAAAGTACTCACGAAGAACTCCTTGTGTTGAATTTCAGACAATTCCATTGAAAAATGTGGCTAACATCATCTATGCTATACGATATCGTGGATCGATATAGCCTATATTCCAACTTGACCTGCCTGCAGACAAAAGACAGATCTGTGCAAAATTTTAGCTTCCTATCTTTAATCGCTTTGACTAAAGCTTGATTACAACAGACTGACGGACTAAATCGTCTTAGAATTTTACGCTGATTAAGAATATATATGCTTTGTTGCGTCTAAAATTATGTTTTCGATGAATTACAAAATGAATGACGAACTTAATATAGCCTCCATACTATGTATGGTGAAGGGTATAAAAATAGGAGTATTTGACAATAGGAGTTTTAGACCCTAGGTCTCTGTGAATCAAATCAGTTTTAGGACCTTAAGAATCGATCCAGCTGTTTTCGTCCCTCTGCCTGCGCACTACACCTCTCGAAGAAAGTATCCGATTTGATTGAAATATTACATATTATCAAATTTAGATCGAGTTCGGAGTTGGTCAATTTCTGTTCATTCATTCTAATCACCCCATTAAAAGGTCGAAATTCCTCACAAAAAATAATTTACCCCATTTAAAAAGATTTTTTTTTATCGACACAAGGTCGTATGTAGTTATAGCGGATCACTCCTTCCAGTACCTCCCCCGCAAAAGGCCAAAAATGGTGATTTAAAATCCTTATAACATGCGACCATTCTTTCTGATATCTCTGCAACAAAAGGTTAAAATTTCGAATTAGTAAAACCCTGATAGCATGCAAAAAGTATCAGCGATTTTCCCCAAACTTCGTGTATCTCCATATTTCCATCAACCATAGGTCTAATGTAAATATGGCATATGCCGGTCCATTACTAATCGCATAAGTAATTTGTATACAGATATCTATTATAAAGTGGAGGAAGTAGTCCAAACCTGGCACATCGCAAAGTTTACTTCAGTCTAAGGTTTGATGTGAAATGGGAAATATTTGCCAACTCCTCGCGTAGCATCCTAAAAAAGGGCCTGAAAAATCAAAGCGCTATTTAAAATATATTTTAATTTGCGGAAATAGGA